CCTCACACTCTGCCATTGTACTTGCCAGGTAAAACAGGAACTCTCGCTCTCCATTGTTCATGTGTGTATCATTTTGGGCCTGTAAGTTAAGAGTTTAACCTTACAAGATTTTAAACTGTTTGTTGGTGGAGTATCCAATGCACAAGCTGTAAAGGCACTTTTCTAGAAAGGGACAGGGAGAAGCATCTCATTTGCATTAAGGGAGACAAACAAAAACATTGTGTTATAATTCCACCTATAAAGTTTTTATCTGGAGTATCCAAGGTAAACTGTAAAGGCAATTTTTTTAGAAAGGTGTTGGAACAGCGTCTCAACTGCGTTTAAAGAGAAACACACAAAATCATTGTTACTTTTCCAGACAAAAAGGGCATCTATAACATTTTATAATAATTTCAACACAGGCTTGGTGTGGATCTGTACCCAAGTCTACATATATGGAAAACCACAAATATGCACCTGGGGCTACTTCTAGTAGCATTTTGTGTTTAAAATAAATGCTATAGAGTGGTATGGCGGCGCCGACAATTCTGTTCCTTTTCATGCTACCACTGACCGCTTACCTCTGTATGGACTTGGGATGCACATCGGAGTGGGCCGTGACAGAGTTCTTCAAAGAATAGTTCCAGAAACCAGATAAAACAAAAGCAAAGAAATAAAACATTTTAAAAAAGGCTGAAAATGTGGTAAAATCTGAAAATGGAAAAACTGGAAAAACTACACTACCGCAACAGCTTTTCTTTTAACATAAGCTTATTCTGAAAATGATATACATCCTATATACATTTCTGGAGATTGCGAATTATGTATCCAGAAGTACGTATGGCTGCTTTTCGTCTTTAAAACGAATACTATAAGGGGGTATGATGCCGTTCCTTTTCGCACTACCAGCTGACAGCTTATACCTCCATATAGATGGCCTACCTTCAATACTAAATATAAAATCACGATTTCTGAAAACTACTAAAATCTCAATTTCAATTTTTTTTTTGCAATAGTACACTTCAATACACAATATAAAACATACTGCACTGTACGTGAAATATACAAAGAGACATTTACAATACTATGATAGATGTAATTACAATGTTAAAACAATGTAATTACAACGTTATTACATATTAATTATAATGTAATGACGTAGCAATTAGATCCAGACGTATTCAACTATAAATAACCAAATACTGTAAGAAAGAAACATTTACATTTATAAATATTATCTTGGATGAAATAACAATGTAACAGCACAGTAATTACTCACAAGTTAAACGTTTGTAATTACATTTTACATAACAGATGTAATTACAATGGTATAACATTGACTATCATTGATGTAGTTACAATGTTACAACAATGTAACAACAATTTATATACTTACAATGTTATAAGTTAATGACAGTGTAATTACATCCAACATAAAAGTTTTAATTACATATGAACTGTGTATATTTACGTATAAATACACAAATACTGTACTTATACTAATACTGTAATTACATATAACATCTCTGATGTAATTACAATGTTATAACAATGTAAAAACAATGTCATTACATCCAAAATTAAAGTTTGTTGTTACATATCGTCACCTTGGAATTATAAGGTTTTATCTGTGTTCTAAAATTTGAGATATTGAGGTATAAAGATTTGTATTCCATACAGCAAACAGTATGTGTGTAACAATTCTTTATTATACATTAACATGACAGAGACCCTAAATTTACTCTAAATGTAAATTATCAAAATCCTCTTGAATTTTCAAATTGGGGTAAAACAAACAGGGCAAATGCAAACAGAACTCTCCAATTCTAAAAGTTATTTTCCACTTGGAATTATAAAGTTCTGTCTGACAGATCATTAATTGAAGCGTTACTTTTCAAGAAATACAATCAGTCTGCTTATTAATTTAATTTAAAAAAAATAAAATTGGTGTTGGAACAATATGTGGATGTTTGAGAAAGTTTTTTTTTTTTTTTGCTTCCTATAACATTTAATTAATGTTTTAGCATGAAAATTCTTTCTTGTAAAAGAAAAAAAAATTCACAATGAGCCTAAGTTGTTTTTTTTTTTAGATTGCTTTAGAAAGCACTATCGGTTGGGCTTAGGGGATGGGGTAGGTGGGTGGGTCAGTTGGCACGTATAAAGAATTTTTGAGATCATCAAAAATGTACACATCGGCCTCTGGTGGATTTGTGAAATCAAAATCTGCAAGCAGACATAGCTCTGGTTACATATTTTGTAGTTCCCAGAAATGTAGACTTGGGTACATATGCACAATGAGCCTGGGTTGAATAATAACATGTTTTAAGTGAAAACTTCAATGACGCATTGTCTGGACACCAGTGACTTACTGTCAGGTCCTGTGTTCCATTTTTCCGTCATGGAATCTTCCCCCATGTTTTCATGTGTGTTTGTTTTCATCATGTGACCCCTTTGTTCTAGTTCCTGCCATTTTTTCATGTTCATTAGTTCTACCTACGTCTCACCCACTATTAATCATTAGTTATATCTAGCCATGGGTAGTTATAGTCCCTTTGTTTAGTTAGTCATTGTCCGATATTCTCAGTTGTGCTTTGTTGGTACCCCATGTCGTTCCTGTGTCTCCTGTGTTATTGATGTCCTTCCAAGTGAGTTTTTTGTAAATAAATCTACGTGTTTGATAAATCCTGTGATCCTTTTGCCTTTCTGAGTGAGTTAAGGTGTTACACTTATATTATGTCATGAAAAAGGGGCATAGAAGACACTTTTACAAACTATTTTATAGAATGATGGGGTACTGTCAAGATTGCAGCTTTCTCTTGATACTGTTCTTTATATTTCTGTCTGCACACCTGAAATTGCAGGTAATATTAAGCTCATATAAATGCAGAAAAATATTACCCTAAACTATTTATTTTGTGAGACTACAAAATCAATGATAGAGCATAAAATGAAACGATAGATTTTTTATTATATCGATACGAAATACAGTGAACCCAGAAAGTGTTCATAGCACTTAATACCCTATAATGACAATGTAAAAAAAAGATTTTTTGAAATTGTTGCAAATTTATTAAAAATAAAAAACCTGAAAAATCACATAAGTATTGACAGCCTTTGCCATGAAGCTCTAAATTGAGCTCAGGTATATTCTGTTTCCACGGATCATTCTTGAGATGTTTCAGCAGCTTAATTGGAGTTCACCTGTGGTAAATTCAGTTGATTGGACATGATTTGAAAAGGCATGCATTTGTCTAAATAAGGTCCCAGGGTTGACAGTGCATGTCAAAGAACAAACCGAGCATGAAGACAAAGGAATTGTCTGTAGACCTCCAAGAGATGATTGTCTCAAGGCTGGGGAAGGTCACAAAAACATTTCGGCTGCTTTGAAAGTTTCAATGATCAAAGTGGCCTCTATCATCCGTAAGTGGAAGATGTTTGGAGCCACCAGGACTCTTCCTAAAGCTGGCCGGCCATCTTAGCCTAGTGATTGGGGGAGAAGGGCCTTAGTCAGGGAGGTGATCAATAACCCGATGGTCACTCTGTCTGAACTACAGCGTTCTTCTGTGGAGAGAGGAGAACCTTACAGAAGGACAACCATCTGTGCAGCATTCCACCAATCAGGCCTGTATGGTAGAGTGACCAGACGGAAGCCACTCCCCGCCTGGAATTTGCCAAAAGGCATCTGAAGGACTCTCAGACCATAAGAAACTAAAATCTCTGGTCTGATGAGACTAAAATTGAACTCTTTGGAGTGAATGCCAGACGTTACATTTGGAGAAAATCACGCATTGTTTATCACCAGGCTAATACCATCGCTACAGTGAAGCATGGTGGTGGCAGCATCATGCTGTGGGGATGTATTTCAGCAGCAGGAACTGGAAGACTAGTCAGGATAGAGGGAAGATGAATGCAGCAATGTACAAAGACATCCTGGATGAAAACCTGCTTCAGGCCCCGTTTACACTAGTGCGTTTTAGTTTGAAAACGCATAAGTTTTGCTACGGTTACGCCATCCGTCCACACTACGCCGGAGTTCTCGAGCGCCGAAAACGGAGCTTTTTGAAAACGCTGGAGAGGCCGTTTTCATTCTAAAACGCTGCTGCTCCGTCTCAGTGTGGATGGGGAAAGACGGAGACATCTGAAAACGGAGGCGGGGCTGCAAACGTTCGCCTATCTGATTGGGGCTTTTCCTCAATATTAAGTAGCCCACACACAGTTCAGTCCTGCATCCTCTTCTTGTAAGTTAAGACTTCGCAAGTTTGATCAAGGCTGCAGTCTCCCCCTTCTCAGTTTGATATGGAAAACATACCGAGGACACGGGTAAATCTTCAAAGGGAACAGTGTACTTTATAACTTCATTCACATCACCTTGGCTACGTTGTTTCACTTTCTCAACAATAAAACGTAAACATGATTTAAGGAACTGCCTATTTTCTTTTTAATATTAGCAACTAAACAGACAGCAGAAATGTTGAGGCGCCGTGCTGCATATATGAGCGTCATCTTCACTGTGTGGATATTTATAACAAAACGGAGCCGATAACAACGGTCTCCTTTCAATTTCAGTGAAAATACGAAACACACCCTCTCTTTTGCTGAATATCAGTTTTAATAATCGATAATTATAAAAGTATAACATACAATAAGTTTATACATTGTAGGAAATAAAGGCAAGCGATCAGTCAATGTACCTGGATTAATCATTAACTTATCTTTGCGCTTAACCAAAACATGTTACCCGTGAACAAGTAACTTAATAGATTCCAATGACCAAAGTCAGGGAATTGGCCTATGTCGTTAGATAAAGACAACAACATGAATGAAATATCACGTTTAGCAAATATAGTGAGATTAGATCCAGCGGGAGATGCTTGATGAGCAGTCTGACAAGCAGAGCGCTCATCTTGGTAGAAATGCTGGAGCGCTTGCCCGAGAGTGTGTGTGTGGTCACGTGATGTGCGTTTTCAGCGTTTTGGTGTGGACGGAGAGCAGTTCAGCAACGCTGGGTAAAACGCGAGTGTGGACGCGGATCGTTTTCATTCTACAACGCCGTTTTAAAACTAAAACGCACTAGTGTAAACGGGGCCTCAGAGTGCTCTTGACCTCAGACTGGGGTGACGGTTCATCTTCCAGCAGGACAATGACCCAAAGCACACCGCCAAAATGTCAATAGAGTGGTTTCACAACAACTCACAATGTCCTTGAGTGGCCTAGCCAGAGCCCAGATCTGAATCCTATTGAACATCTCTGGAGAGATCTGAAAAGGGCTGTACACTGTCGCTTCCCATCCAACCTGATAGAGCTTAAGCAGTACTGCAAAGAGGAATATGCAAAAATTCCCAAATACAGGTGTGCCAAGCTTTTGGCATCATATTCAAAAAGACTTGAGGCTGTAATTGCTGCCAAAGGTGCATCAAGGATTGAGCAAAGGCTGTGAAAACCTCTGTACATGTGATTTTTCAGGTTTTTTATTTTTTATAAATTTGCAACAATTTAAAATACCCTTTTTTCACATTTACATTATGGACTATTGTGTGTAGAATTTTGAGGAAATAAATTATTTTATTCCATTTTGGAATAAGGCTGTAACAAAAAATGTGGAAAAAGCGAAGCGCTATGAATACTTTCCGGATGCACTGTATATCATCATATTGCACAGTCCTAAGGTGTGCAATGGTTAATTTGGCTTCATTTGGAACTGTTTTTGGCATAGACACAGAAGTAGAGAAATAAAGAGTTGAATTCAATGTTATCTTCTTGTTTATGGTATATATTTTTGTGCTCTGTCAAGGCTCCATGATCTTTTGGCACACAATGACATTCCTCCCTGGGAACTGGTGAGTGTCTTCAAGCAAGTTCTAAAGGAGTTCCTGAGGAGACATGAGGATGGCATGCAGAGACGTCCAGCTCCATCAACCTTCCTCTGCGCTCCCGGTTCACCTGTAGAGAGTAATGATAGAAATCACATGGCTGGAAATGCATCAAATGCGCTATCAGAGGAGTCAGGGAAGCACAGGGAGGAAATTCCTACTATTTCCAGCTATGTGGATAAACATCTGCATTCTGCCTGTCCATACTCGATCCACAGAGATTGGAGTCTGCCCTTTTGCCATCCTTTTGCTTATGAGGCCTACAGCACCACATTGTGAGACAATTCGAAAAGTTCAAAACAATCTCATGGTTCAAAACAATATCAATTTTGGTGATCTAATTGTACCTGTTTAAATTAAACTCAATAAAAGTGAGGAAATTAGTTGCAAAGTTTAAATTTGGAAAAGGAGCCTTAGAAATGATCTTTTTATAATTGTTAAATAATATGAAACAATTTAGTTTTTAATTTTAAAAATCACCAACACCAGTAATTAGCATTTTATTTTTATTTATTTATTTATTTTATAATTAATTAAAATACATTGCTCAGCATAACTAACTACACCCCATTTTAAAAAGGATTATTTTTATCCATTTCTCAGTGATTATAGGCAATGTATTTTGATGCATTTAAACAAAACAGATTTATTAAACAGATAAATTTACTAAAATAATATTTTAGTCACCAAACATATTTAGAAATTGAAAGATAATACAATTAAATTTAAGCAAAATATTGCAAAATAAATTACAACCTACATAATTTTAACTAAATATTTATATTATTTTTGCTTCTCTTAATTTTTCCTCTTTTTTAAATTTGTATTTAATATTTTTCTATAATTTATACATTTGGGTGTACTAGTTTTGCTTCAGTACTGACTAATCTAATGTATATGCACAAATATAATATTGTATAGCTTCCTATTAATAATATAAATCTAAAAGATAGATTTGTGAGGGGTGAACTTATAATGTATATGCTGAGCACAGAAAGTTACTTACGATTATGTAATTATAATAATGTTTTCATTATTATTAATGTTATTATTATTATAAATTGTATTATTATTAATGTTATTATTATTATTATAAATTTATTATTATTATTATTATTTATAAGGCGTATTTTTCAGTTTTGGCTAGAGAATTTCCGGTACTGTCTCTATGCAAATAGCCTAATAAATAAATAATAAAAAATCTTCTCAACTAATTTGTGGATTTCCTTCCTGTATGTCTGTATCATGCCACAGTCCCAGAATACATGCATCCCAGTACCAACATTGGATTTGCACTTAAAACAACATAAAGAAACATTAGGAAATATCTAAATTTTTTATTTTAGTCCATTGTTGTTATTTGAAACTATTCCTTGTAACCAGATGCCTTTGTGTCCACTTCTTTCTTTTTAAAATAAAGTGTAAGTCCAGTATAAGTTGCCTGATCAAAATAAAAGTAACCCACACAATCCCACTTGGACACACTCACACACACGTAAGCACAAACACCCAGAGTGGTCAACCCAGATATCCAGCCCAATCTGTCATATTTTTTTCCGAGTTATATTTGTGGATTACAGAGCAGAGATTAGCTTGAGGGGAGAGGATTGCACCACTGCCTTTGCGAATCAGTGGTTCTTCCTGCATGAACTACCTAAAGCAGCATCACTGATATAATCGGATGTCCTCTGCTCGTCCTTTAGTCATGTAGTAACAGAAATGTGATTTTCCTGTATGGATTGAAAGAGCAGATGATGTGTAATCTGGTAATGAGTGGAGGGCTAATCATAAAGCCTCTACTTTGCAGTGATATTTACCCTTTACCGCTGAATAACTGTTTGGGTGTGATAAAGGGAAGTTGGCGACTGTGTCTATTGTTTAATGTGTGTCTGCAAAATGTAAAATGTAAAAGCTTTTTTTTTTTTTTTGCTTTTGTGAATCCTGCAAGATGTATTGTTTTTTCTTACATTTCTGATGTTTATTAAATGTCTAGGAATAAATTTCATCTTAAATGTTTATAGTTTTTTGTCTCACATTCGTTAGTTATTTAGGAAATTTCGCAAAACAGAAAAGTTGTCTGTAATACAATTAATAATTACTAAGTATTATGATTATTAAGCATATTATGAAAAGCAATGTATAGCCTTTCTTTGTGAGCATACAGATTTTTTTTTTGTAAATAACTCAGCTATAGAACTTATTTATTTATTTTATTGATACAATAAAAAATTATTTTTATAGGAGTATTAGTAAGAGTTTTATGGAGATTAGCGACAATGTTTTTGTTATAGATGAATAAGATTCAAACTATTTAATTTATTTTACATAAAGTATCTATTTTTTTATAACATTAAGTATTTATTTTATTATTTATTTACTTTTAAAGTCTTGTCAAAAACAAATGTAATAATGATTTTGAATAATTTTAACCAATTTTAATGTTGACTATAATAATAAATATTATCCTGAATAGTAATAGATTAATTATCTTTTTTTTAATCTAATAAATATTAAGAATATAAAAAAACACTTCTCTCCTTCACTGAACCAACCAGAAGCATGCTGGAGATGAATTGGTAAATATGGGCTCATATCAAAGGGGCATGATGTCCATGCTATATGAAGTGATCCAAAGAACTGCCTCCCATCCCTAAATCAAGCGAAAATGGGAAGACAAACTGGGACTAAAAATATCAGATACAGCCAGGCAATATGCCATACAACTAGTACATTGATCTTCAGTATGTATTAAGCATTATCTTCTACGGTTTAAGCTGCTTCATAGGCTTCACCTATCTAAGAGCAAGCTGGCAAAAATGTATCCAGGGTCAGATTAATCTTGCCCCAGATGTGGTTTGGAGACAGCAGATCTGAGTCAAATGTTCTGGGGATGCCATAGATTACATACATTTTGGACCGATATTTTAGATCATTTTTATCTATGTGTAACAAAGAGATGGATCCTAATCCTGTGACTTAAATTTTTGGTACAGTGCCAGAGGAAATGTACCTGTCAGCTAAACATGTAAAAATCATTGCCTTCTCTTCATTATTGGCCAGACATCTGATTCTTCTCAGGTGGAAAAAGACAAACACGCCATCCCACACACACTGGATATTAGAAATGTTATCACATCTTAAACTTGAGCACCTAAAGAACACCATCCGAGGCTCTACAAAAAAGTTTTATGAGGTTTTTATGAGGTCTTTTCTATTCTAAATTGAACACTCAGGGGTTATTATATCCTAAGTGAAAGTTTATCCCGAATTTCCCATTTAGTTTTATCTATTTTATTTATTGATCTTTTTCTTTACTCTTTATTGAGTATGTTTGTATATACCATATTAATATGTTGTTCAATATGTGTTGGAAAATTGAAGACTATTAAAAAAATATACAAAATTTGAATATCAATATTAAGAATGGCGAGGCAGTGGCGCAGTGGGTAGTGCTGTCGCCTAACAGCAAGAAGGTCGCTGGTTCAAACCTCGGCTCAGTTGGTGTTTCTGTGTGGAGTTTGCATGTTCTCCCTGCCTTCGCGTGCGTTTCCTCTGGGTGCTTCAGTTTCCCCCACAGTCCATTGAATTGAATTGGGTAGGCTAAATTGTCCTTAGTGTGTGTGGATGTTTCCCAGAGATGGGTTGCGGCTGGAAAGGCATCCGCTGTGTAAAAACTTGCTGGATGAGTTGGCGGTTCATTCTGCTGTGGCGTCCCAGGATTAATAAAGGGACCAAGCCGACAAGAAAATGAATATTAAAAATATTAGGAAAATTCAAATACATCTTTGTTTATATTATATAAATCTTTAACAACTTCAAACACCAACAATTATAACAATAATTTTAAATAAATAAACATTGAACAACAACACATTTTCATTATTAATAATAATATCTATCTTGGAACATTTTTTCTAATATACACAGATAAAGAAATATTGATTTCTTTGATATTTCTATTGATATTAATTTGATACACAATCTAATATTTTATCAAATGTCCTTCCAATTAATAATGCATTTATAAGCCCTAAATAGACATAATAAGGACAATGAAGAATACAGCAACTGTTCTAAAATACAATTTTCACGTTTGGACTTTTATTTTGGTGACGGGGCTTTTAATTACAAAGCAGAACGTTCAGGATCTTCCGTTGTCTCCTCTACTGAGCTAGCGCTGAACAGTGACCTTCTCCGAGTGGTTCGGTGCGCTTACTAACTAAAGGTGAGTACATATCTTTATTATAGATGCTACATGTGTTCAACTGCCGTATGATAAATTATTACTGTACATTTAGGGGTAATTCACCTTTATTGTGTTACTGATTATTGGACCATAAGTGTCTAGGCCTTGCAGAGCGCTCTACGGTAAATGAATCAACATCGTCGGTGGACAATGCTTTGCGCTTGTTTGACATTTACAATAATGCAAACGTTTTATATTTTAAGTGAGAAAGAATTTACTATAATGTATCATGAAAGGATTTGTTGTCGTTTTTGCCCTTAAAGTGACGCGTTTTTTGTTAACGGAATTGGGTTTGACATTAGTTAATATTGACAACGTAATTAGTTTGATTTGACTCATTAAAAACTCCAATATTGTCAAGTATAACAGCTTGAATAAAGTTCAATCTCTTACTCCCCCGCCCCCCTTTCACCCAATTAACTTAAAATGTCTTTGAATATTTGTGTCACGTTACTTTGGTATTTTTATAACGTGGCCCATAAGTGCACGTTTTACATATGATGTATGAAATGATTAACCTAGCATTTTTGAAGTCTTCTAGACATATGTTTATTAATTTTCGTGTTTTCTTTATCACTAGATGGCAGGTGCATTCAACGTGTGGTGGGCTAAGATGTCGCCATACTACGCCAAGGCAAATGTGGAGATGTTTGTTGGTTTAGGAATCATGAGTTTCTTTTACTACAAACTTTCATATGGAGGTGAGAGGACCAGATTCTGAAGAACTTTCTCAGTCGTGTGGATATTTACAAAAATGGCTTTAATCTTTTTCTAAACCGTTTTATTTTATTCATTGTGGACCATGATAAAATTATTAGTGATGTGACCAGAAATATATCACATAAGAGCGTTATTTTTTACCATAACATTACCTTTACTGTTATTATGATCTATTGCAGACTGTACATAAGAAATGTATGGTGTCATACAAGGTGACATTTTGTATTAAGCTTAAATTGTAAAGTATTAACAGTGCCATTGCTGTCTTGCAGGAAAGAAGAAAGCAGTGCAGTCAAGTAAGTATTCTTGTTTTTAATTCATATTATTCATATTATATTTATTATTATGAATTTCTATGCAGACTTTGGTAAAACATTAAAGTTTTTTTAAAATGTAAAGTTGAGTAAAAACAGATAAAAACAAATTGTTTAAAGCAGGGGTTCTAAAAATTACAGTTGAGGTAAATTTCCAAGGATTTATAATTGGAAAATTAATTCACCATACAGTATGCTTCCAGCATTTTGTACACAGAAACTTCTGTCAAACAATAAAAATGTCATATTTTAAAATGTAATCACATTGAAATATATATTTTATTTTTGGGCAAAATAAATGTGAAATTTACTTCTGCTGTTAAAAAAAAATGGGAGGAAAAATACTGTGTTGAAAACTTTTATTATTGTGTCCGGTACATTTTATTGTACAATATTAGATGCAATTTGAAGTTAAATGTTTTACATTTTATTATGGCATCAATGTTTTATTTTGTCATGAAGATTGAGTTTCAAAGTGTACATGATGATGTGATTTTATTTAAACTTTTGTAGCTAAATTATAGTTTCACTTAGCAGAATTTCATGTGTTCCTTTCCTGATGGAAAGAGATGGCAGATGATGAAAACAGCATGTTCTATATGGATATACTGAAAATCATTTTTGTTAAAAAAAAAATCACGATTCTGAATGGACCAAAGCAAAATAATTTAAGTTCTGACAATGTTATTTGCTGCAGTGTCATTTTTTTCCCCCTATGTGTTCTATAATCTAAATTATTTTAATCTGATTGAATGAATGATTCAATATCTCGCTAAGACTTATTTCATTCATTACTTAGATTCAGAGATTTTTGAAGAATCTTTTTAACAAATCATTCAGTGACAAGTTTTTATGGTTACTTGTCGCCACCTATTAACAAAATATTGTAATTGCTTTAAACTTAAAGTCTGCATGAAATCCAAATTCAAGTGGTACTTTCTTTTGCTAGTGCACATTATTAGCCTTAAGATTAACATATTAATCCACTGAAAAAAATTAACATTTTAATTAAATTAATTTTAATTAATTTCATACCATTTGCTACCACTTTTTAAAACATTTGCTAATTTGTTATGTGAAGGTTTAGCCACACCCTTCCAACAGTTAAAGGTGATCTTCCACAATGCTAAGCTTCGCATAAATCTCAAATCAGTCCCTCCCCTGCCGTCCAGAGCTATGCCTCCTGAAACAGGAGTACGCGCACCTTAAAGATTACAGCAGAACCCACTCTCGTGTGTTAAAAGCAACTAGTGCTTGTCCGGCGGCGTGCAGGAATTAGACTCATTACTAAGTCAAACTGACATGCTATTTCAGAGTGAATATTTAGAGTTGCATGGTAAACAATATAGGGAAAGACTAGATGGAATAGCGCTTTTTATTTATGTTTTGTTGTAAACTAATTAAAATCTACGTTATTGATGCTGTAAAGGTCGCTTATGAAGTGAAAGTAGTCTTATAAATCTTTCACCGGAAGATTTTAGTGGCTGAACAACATTACTGGGAAGATATAACCCATTTGTAACAACAACATCTAACATTACATCAGCTTTGCGTGAAGCTAAAATAGTTTTAAAACAAAACATTACCTGTCCAAGAGAAATCCTTCTCCAGTGTGCAAAGGTAACTCCAATATTGATTAAGGTTTTTAAAAAGTTTTGATTCACCATGTTTTTGCTGATCGTGCGTGCGTACTCTCGATCTTGTGAACGCGCAGCACGTCTATGCACCAACAGCGGTCGGCGAAGCTGCGTACAAAAGGCTGAGCAGTTGATCAAATCTGATTTTGCTGACGGACAGATTGGGCTACTTATCGGAATTATGAGAGATGTCGGCCCGACTCAATTGACTCAATTTTTTTAGTTTTATGCCTTACCCAAAATATAAAAATACATATAAATACATTTAGATCATTTACTTTAATCAGTTAAAATGTGAAGAGACTTTTAACCAGCACAACAACAAAAGTTTCTGAAGACAATCACCTACTGCACCTTTAATTGGCTTTGAGTGAATGAGGGGAGCGCAAAAATAAAGTCCCGCCCCCTACTCAAAATACTATTTCAGTTGTAAAGGGATCATATTAATGTAATAAAAGACTGTAGTAATGTGCTTTATGCAGACTTTAATTTAAAGGGTCAAGTTGCTTTCAAATTGTGTTTTGATGGCTACTGTAGGTATCCGTGTTTGCATCCCAACTATAAACCTTAATTCCAGCATTTCTCTGTCATTTTCAATGCTTGTAAAACATTAATAGTGGTATTATTAATATTGATAATAATGGCTGAAAAGTCTACATACAAACTATTTTGTTTGTGATGACTGTTCTATCTGTGTCAACTTCAGCATTAAATAGTCTTTTTGTAGATTATTATTATTTTAACATTGTAAATTACAATTCTGTGATTGAATCCATGATTCCATTCATTTATTTTGCATCAAGGAAATCATAGGGCCCTAAATTATTTTGTGAACCCTCTAGCTTTAGGGCTTGGAGCCCACTTTGAGAGCCCTTGGTCTAAAATGATGAGGAAGGCTAATTTATAGGACAAGTTTTTCACACATTCGCTAACATGAATTCTCTTTTCTCACAGAACCTGCACATTGATCGGGCCACCGGAGCATCATTCCCCGAATCCCCATCTCCTCTCTGTACATCTTCCCCTGAAGAACTTCACCTGGATATCTGTATTTTGTTTTATGCAAACAATAAAATGCTTGAATTGGATCCACTCTATGGACAATACACTGCTTTTGTGGTCTTTCACTTTCTCTTGCAGGAAATTGGTATCAGCAAATGTGCAGCTGCTTGATTGTTAACTTATGAAAATAAACCATTAAAGATGTCCTGCCAAAATCTTTTAATGGGCTAGTCATTGAGTCACAGTTGCATTTGTTTTGTAGGACATGAATCAAAACTATTTTTAGCTGATGTTAAATTCTCACTGAAAATGTCTAGTGTGAATATTTGCATGCAATGTTTTATAATACACAGTTTTTGTTGTCGTTTTGTCATATTTTGTAGATAGTAATTATTGTTGTTGACCAGTAGTGGGCGTTTAAGGACTGTCCAGCACTTTAGATATGTACAAAAAAAATCTATTGTATCTTGTCACAAATCTAAAATTTGTTTAACCTTAAAAAGAAAACTCTAAATATACAATTTAAAGTTATACGTCACACGTTGTAATTTGATGAGGAAACTTGTCTTGATGTTGAACGTCTGCAAAATAAGAATCCCACGGTTCTTTGAGATTAAAGATTAAACACGTGCGAGTAGCTGCACTTTCATTCACTTTCAAGTGAACTAACAACTAATGTGTCTGGTCAAACTAAGGGCGTATCATGTCCGTTTGATTTTCACCTCGGATATTTTAGTGACTAAACAAACAAACATCCATAAGTCACTCCACATTCCTGTCATTCTTGGTCTGCGTGTGCAATCATTTAACACAAGAGCGCGAGCTCGGCCATTTCAGGGCAGTGTTTCTAGACTTATATTGCTTTTGCTTTAATTCTTTAACGAATATCACGCCAATAACTGACAGCATTCGGAGGAATACGCCTGTTCTGATTTGGTTTCCACCCATTCGCTTCACGTATCGCAGCGTTTTCACCTGGCTTCGGCTAGCAGGCTAACTAGTTTAGCTATCTCGCGAGTTAATCGATACTCGGCTGCTTTCAGGATACGAGGAACACCCCATGCACAGTTTTCTGAACGATTATGGCACACGTCTACACCTGACATGTAAGTAAAATGTTGTTTTACCCACCGTGTGTGTACATTTTTTGTGTTTGTTAACATGATTGCACACCGGGATGTTTTTAGTCGTGCTAGCTGGCTAACAGATGTGGAGAACTGTTAATATAAACAGGGCGGAAAGAGGAAAACAATATTTACTGAACATATTTAAAACCGCATCGTTGAATTAAACGTTTTGTTTCGATTAATTAATTGTAAGTCATTCAGTATGAGGAGTAAATGAGTTACGGGTTCTCAGCGGGTGTGTAAAACATCCAAACATCTGCCATTTCAATACACACGCTCAGCTGATTATCCAGTTAAGCGAGTTTTAAAGCGTCTCTTTAATTTTTTTAGTCAAATGAAGGCGATCAAAGCAAGTGATAACCAGTTGCTTGTCGCGTTAAAGCGTTCAAAAGATGTGAAATGACACGATGTACGGAGTCGTGGCCTGTTTGGCCTGTGTTTATCAGTGCTGTGGACATTGATGTGCCAGTGATGCTGCAAGTGAAGTTGTTTTTAATCCCATACAGAGGGCTGTGATCTCGGTTGGATGTTTTGAAAGGCAAATCGAAGCTGAAGACCAGATGTTCCTCTGACAAAAGTGAAGATGATGCCTGTGAGTAAATCACGCTCCTCAAATCAGCAATGCAGTTTTGTTTACATGCATGATAGGCGAACATTTGTGAGCCCCCATCACTGTATCATCCGTTATATGTATGGTATCGTTGAAACAGCTCAGTCCATTGTGGAAAGAATGTACAGTGTGTTGAGTTATACACACTAGTGTGAATGTGAAAGTCCTCATTCAGATGCATTGTGGGCTGCCTAGAGCCTTGCCAAGGGATCCATAATGGGATACTTTTCAGAAAGCTGTTAATGGGCTGTGGATGGGAATATTCTCAGTACAGGAGTGTTATCTGTGCCTCATGTTGTGTTGTTTAATCTCCACTGATAATTTAGCTTTTTAAAGAGGCAAATAGTCAGTTCTAATAAAGAACTGTTCAAAAATAGATGTTTTTATTTTTTTATTTTATGACAAGTCTTTTGTCCGTACACACTGCTTTTTTCTCTAGTGCTAATGGAAGCTATTAGTTTTATGATGTTGATATGCTGTTGCTTGTTAAAGAGAATCTCTTTTGCACCCTAGCGCCTTTATAGTTTCAGTAATGCTAAATCATTATTGGCAGTTTTATGCCCCTCCCTCTATGTTCAAAGGGTCTCAAGACTGGAGTAAATATGTTGGTTGGCAGCACTGAAACCAAATGCTGCACTTCATGTTTATTCCTTATGATCTTTATTGTTATCTGTAGGAGCTAAAATGATCTGCAATAATGTGAAGCTCCTCTTATCTGTTATTAATATTCAACATTCAATATGCGATTGTCATCTTTTTTTTCTCTCTCTTTTGTGCATTATACAGTGCTCATCATATGAGTACATACAACCTCCCCCCCACAAGTCTCTTATTTAAACTAATATTGTCTATAGGATGCTTTACAGTGTTATATTTATGCATATACATTAGTTTAGTCTGTACTGAAGCCAAATCTGAAGCTTGTCTAACAAAATAATTTATACTTAACAATAATGGCCCGAAATTTAGCTGCCCAATTTTGTTAGGGAAAAATATTAAATAAAATTGTCAAAAATAGCAAAAAAGGAAGAAAAAAAATCAAGAAAACAAAGATTTCTGATAAATATTAAGTTTTGTTAAATTTAGGTTTTGTTGAAATGTTGTAGTTTGTTATTTGTTTTGCAATATTTTGCATTAATTTAAATGTATATCTTTTCATTTCTTAAGATGTTCTGTGACTAAAATATTATTTTACTAAATACATCTGTTTAATAAATCTGTTTTGTTTAAATGCACTAATATATATTACCCATATTCACTGAGAAATGGATAAAACACTGATTTTCAAAATGGGGTGTACTCCATTAAGCTGAGCACTGTATATACTGTACATATTCGTCACAGAACATCTGTGGGTTGTCACAACGTTTTAAGATCTGTCAGGTGAATAACTTTGAGATTACACATTAACGTCACATCTTTAAACATTAACCTTGAGCTCATTTAACCCACATGCTTTAACATTTATCAGCAAAGTGGTATTTTCGGCAGTTTACTGCCGCCTCTGCAGGTTTGAATCATCAAAGTAATTATTAGTTGATCATAGTGATTGAGTAATTCTAGTGGTTGAAAGATTGTATATGCATGCACACGTCACAAGTAAGTGTATGTGAAAATCATTAGGACGCAGTGATCTATAACAAGATTTTATGACCTGGCGAATTCAGAATCTATCGCATGAAATCCCACACCAAAAAAAATGGACAGAGGAAACATTGCCTTCAGAGCTTGTCTCTCTGTCTATTTTACTCTCTCATATAACAACTATTGATACAAGCTGAAAATGTTTGCTGCACACAATATTGATGGTGTTATCCAGCAGCAGTAAACCAGTACACCCGGTCAACCTGTGTGTAAATTATAAAGCCTTGTCTGCTGTTAACCATCTTCTATTATGACTTTGCTCTTCAGTGAGTTTATCCTCCTGTTTGGTCAGTTAAAAAAATATATATCAACAGATTGGCGCATTTCAATCTAACATGCCTGCTGACCTTTTCCTGAACTTTTTTTTGACATGTTTAAAAATGATCAGGACTTTGTGAGCCATTAGGTTTGTAAGTTCTTGTTTCACAGCAAGCAAATGAGCTCATACTACAGCAAAGATTTGACAGTTTATGCCTGCCTTTATCTAGAACAGAGATGCCCAAACTAGGGCACATGGGCCAAAGTTGGCCCTTGGTAACCTTTTATTTGGTCCCTCTCTTCTCTGATGGAATGGTGGAGAATGAGGGAGATGGTTTAGAGATTGTCAATTCAAACTTAATGTAACTCTTTGTTTGTTTTAAGCTTTGTTTGTTTGTTTGTTTGTTAAAGGCTAAAATTAAATAGAGTAAATTAAATAGATTTTGTTTAAATTTTTATATTATCACCTGACAATGCAGAGACTTTGGTAAACAACTCTGGTCAAAGGCAAATTCTGCTTAACTAGTGTATTTAGCATTGATCTTCATTGTGTTATAAATGGGATTGTTTGTTTTTATTGCAATAAGTTATAATTTAAAAATTATACTGCTAGTTAGTATGATTTAAAGTGATGTTTTCTATTTATTTTGAAATATTATGAAATAAATGAGTAAATAACCCATGGAAACTTTAATGTAATGTAGTTTGGTATATTTGCCTTTGGCCCACAGCTTTTTGGCCTTAACTTGAAACTTTAGGCACTCCTGATCTATAAGAGTCCTCATGGTATTTAGGTGTCAGTTTAATTTGTGTAAAGGGGGTATATAGTAGTTTTGGAGAAACTTGCTCGCTCACTCACTCGCTTTTTTGGTTTAATCCAGTGAACATCAGCATACTTGTTGTGTTATGAAATATGTGCACATTTTTTCATCTTCCTCCCTGATATGGCCAGTTCCCAAACAGAATGTTCCTCTGTAGCGAGCACAGATTTCTAGGCATGATTACAGTCCTTCAGTGACAGCTTGATAAGATCCTGTTATGCTGATGCATAGAAGGAATCTAATTGGTTGCAAGTTAAAGGAGTAGTTCATGCAGGCAGGAAAATCATCCCATAATCCCAAAATTACTCACCCTGAAGCCATTCTAGGTGTATGCCTATCATCTCTCAGATGAACACAATAGGAGTTATGTTAAATAATATCCCACCTTTACCAGCTTTGCAGTGGCAGTTTTTTAAAGTTCTAAAAAGCACATCTATTCATAATAAAATCTATACAACTCCCAAGGTTTAATGAATACATTTGTAAGAAATTCATCTTTATGTTAAACTGTATAACTATTTACACTGACCTTTGACAACTGGTGTGGACATTTCTTTTGACTGTCTTTTTCAACAGTAGAATTTTCAATCACATTGGACAGTATTTTCTAGATAAAAGAAGGTCAATGTGTGAACATACACAATGTAAAATGTGTTTTAAAAGGTTTACACTAGGGCTGCACCATACTGGAAAAAAATTACATTGCAATATTTAGTTTTTTTCTGATATATAGAAAAATATATATATATTTTTTTCTGATATATATATATATATATATGTATATGTATATATGTATATGTATATGTGTATGTGTGTGTATGTATGTATGTATGTATGTGTATATGTATGTATGTATGTATGTATGTATGTATGTATGTATGTATGTATGTATGTATGTATGTATGTATGTATGTATGTATGTATGTATGTATGTATGTATGTATGTATGTATGTATGTATATATATATATATATATATATATATGTGTGTGATATGTGTGTGTATATATATATATATATATATATATATATGTGTGTGTGTGTGTGTGTGTGTGTGTGTATATATATATATATATATATATATATATATATATATATATATACATATATATATATATATATATATATATATACTTTTACGATGTGACTATTGAAGACACACACATTGCGATGTCGATGCTCAAATTATATGTTGTTCAGTCCTAGTTTAGACAGAAGTAAACAAAATCGGCACACTACCACTTTAGCTCTCAAAAGAGTGTTTAATTAGAAAAGGTTCGACCTAGAAGGTCTTCATCAGGTCACACAGCTGAAGTGCTAAAAAAGAGCTAAAGTGGCAGTGGGCAGATTTTGTGTACTTTCATCTTTATTTAGTTTGGCTTGATTGAGCACCTGCCTTCAAGATTTTTTTAAAATGTGCACTAGGGCTGCACATCTGCATATTGAAAAAATCTAATACAATAAAATTTCACTAGATTTGTTGAATAACTATTTGGAAAAGAATTGATCATTTTAGATTGATTGGGATGATTCTGTAGATGAATGCATATGCATAAAATACAAGAAACAATCTACAAGCATAGATTAATTCAATAATGAAAAAGATACAAATTAAATAAAGTGTTTTATGGTTTTCGGAGGTGTTGATCTGTATTAAAGTATACAGTAATTAAATATTCAAGTGTAAAATAATACAGCATAGTCTTTGTTTCAAACAATTACAACAGCTAAACCATAAACAATTCAATACAATAATCTTTATTACAAACAAGTTTTTAAGCAGTGGAATATGTTGGGCATGAAAGCTTTTAAAACTTTCACACAGTCACATACCTTAAAAAACACTCGCAAAATGTTCAAAATGTTTTAAGCCAGACTCAACATTGTGTATTCTCGTGATGTGATTATTGCAAATTATTATTTAATTGAGATATCGATGCTAAAACGATATATTTTGCAGCCCTAAAGTGCACACCTCTTTTTACTCAAGCTTTTTACTTTTAGTTTTTCGATTCAGGTTTAAATGACTCACTTTATCTTAACAAAATAATAGGGAGTATCTAATGTTGGTGTTTTCAAGAGTTCACACTTAGCTAATGCTTCATAATGATTGCAGGTTTGACATGCTGTCCTGGCAGAGAGCCCCTCCTGGTTAGTTAGTGTTGATTTTACTCTTCAATGCAGAAGTGCGCTCGTTTTTGTGATTGTTTTAGTACGGTACTCAGGGCTTGAAATGAACCTTTTTGCTTGGTTACACCAG